TCTTTCCCTGAACTCAAGGCCAGGGCAACAGTTACAGAAGGTGCTGATGACTTCTTATTTACTAGCTTCCAGTGCAGCATACTAATGTCAAGTGCATTCAACTCAAGCTAACATGTTGAACAACCTGTGGCTGTTGAGGAGATTGAAGGCTGCTACTTGTTTTTTCAGGCCCTCCTTGTAAGACATACCAGACAGGACTACATGGGGATGCAACTCCCTTCTAAATCATCAAGAACCCAACATCAGGCAGAGACAAGTGATAACAAAGCAAAACTGTGTTCATATGTACTTGTAAGGGCTCCAAAAAATGTTTTTCAGGATGTTCTCTCCCATGTCTCTTTCCTTTCAAACCTTCTGCTTATTTCTTTTCCAGCTGACATTCTCTTACAGTGAGCTTCTAGGATACTGCTAGTTGTTCCCTAGTGAACCTCCACTCAAAATTCTTCTGAAGACTATGCTCAAGGCCCAAGCTTTCCTATTTTTCATAAGAAGGAACCATAAGAAAGCAAAATGGAATTTTTCCATGGTTAATGTCTCCCAGCAGCAATGCCCGTCTATGCCAGGTGGATATTCTAAAACACCCACGTGGCCAGATCTTGTTATATATTTGACTACTTTGTAGGGTCACTGGATTTACATAATGTAGATACGAAATTCATAGAAATTAAGTGGAGAGAGGTTTAAGGCAGGAGAGTGTAGATTCACTTGCCAAAGACTGTCTGCCTAGTAAATATGGCTCTGCATTTTCTATTGCAGATGTCCTCCTTCCATTTTAGCACGGAGGGAAATGGAATGACTGGAGTGGGTGTTTACCCTTGGAACATTCTGTCACCCAGAAGCTTACAGGATCAGATTTGCATGCCCAACTATATAGAGAGCTGAGAAAACCACTGCTAACAACAAACTAATCCAACAGAAAAAGACTTTTTGAACACACAACGTCCGTACCTCTGCAAGTAGCCTCTGATCCAGACCATTGGCCATTTGGCTGACAAAGCCGGATGCTGCTTCCCACGAGATCAAATCCTGCTTTGCATCGGATCCCGCAGGCAGCATTAAAGTAATTGTTGCAGACGTTCTGGACAAAGTAACCGTTTTCAGGGGGCTTCAGTTCAGGGCAGTGAACAACTAAATAATTAAAGAACCACAACAGAGTTACGATGCTAGCTGGAATGCAATAGGCTACTGAAGGAAAACAATTTTTTTCATTTCCAACTTGACTTGCATCTTGATACTTTTGTTGTTTTGGAATGACACAGAAAATCTTGTATGCAATTTGACATGTCCTTCGCAGTGCAAACGCACATAACAAAATTGTCCCAGCACTGCATTGTGTGTTCCAGAGGTATTCTGTTCTTGGATGGAAACACTTACCTTCACAGGTTTGTCCCACAGCACGATAGCCCTCCCGGCATGTACAATCCTCAATGGAGGTGCTTCCCGGTGGAGAAGTATGATTCTCATCAGGACATGAGGTACAAGTGCTGATTCCACCTGGTGAACCTTCAGGCTTGTATGTTCCTGGTGGACAGGCTGTTGAGCAAAAGAAAACATGACAGGAACGAGTTCAGGATATCCACCTTTCACAGCTAGCAAAATTTTTTGGTATGTTACTTTATTTTTTTTTACATTATTTTTTCTACCTCATACATCCAGTGTCATTTAGGGCAGGAGCATTGTCCACTAAAAGTGCTGTAGAGTTCTTACAGGGGTGAACTAAAGACCACCAAACTTTAAGGAGGTCTCTCCAGTGATTGTCTGGGGACTGATATTAAGTCCATGATTAATCTTCTTGAAAAGAAACACGTTCCCAGAAGACACACCAGGTTTTCACTGATCAAATCTGTGTTGATCTCATGAAGCCATTCTTGAATTGAGAGGTGTAAAAAAATTAGTTGAGAAAAAATCCTTGCCATTCAAAACTACACCAAAGTTTAATGCATACCGATTCTTAGGAACAAGCTAACACAAGCTAGCAAAAACCCCTGCCCTTGATTTACACATTATGATTATATATGATCTCCACACTGTACTTGCTAAAATGTATGAACCACAATGAAGCAATTAATCAAAGCAACTGCTCCCTGAAACTTTTGCACTCCTTTATATCCCATTTAATATTTTTAACTGTGTATCTACATGCACAAGCCTTAAAGAGATTCAGGAGATGTCTTCAGAAGCAGGGAAAATGCATAGGGAAAAGGCACTTCTCACCTGAGAGCTTCAGATTGCTTGGATAAGTCTGAGTCTTATCTCTCTCTGCTTTGAATTCTGTTCTTCAGGAAACCCATAACTATTTATTTCACAAGGATGAAGTGAGAAACAGGGGAGTGACTAATCAACAGGTGCTGATAAAGTGAAGTGTTGATTGATCAGATTACTACTTGAAACTGCACTCAAAGACACTAGTGCTGAAAAACATACCTCCTGATGTAAAGTTCAGGAAATACGTAATACTAACACTGGAACCCAGCCAAAAAAGCTCTCAATTCATTAATTTCACTGTTTAGAAATTTTCCTAACGGCCACACTTTCCCTTGCAGACTGGAAGTCAGTCTCTCATTTCCACCCCTCAGTACAGCCACTCTGTACCATCTGATGCAGCTGTGGATGTATAAAGAACAGTACGACCATAAACACCCTCCAAGTGCTTTCCTCCTTACACAGTCAGGTGTGCTCTGCTTCTGGAACAAACCTCTGCTATTGAGGTATATTTTCTGGAGTTCAGAGATTCTGGCAGTATCAGTCTTTTCTTTGGTAGATAGTGGACCAGCTCTGTTTGTTCTGTGAATTAGGTGCTAGGAATCTCTGACTTTTGTCTTATTAATGAAAACAACTTCCTGCTTTCCAGGCAAATGGAAAAAAACCCAAACAAAAAATAAAACCGAAAGAAATCACAGCCTCCTCTTTCCTCACCTGTCATGGGAGAACTGACTTTCATAAACCAAATTTTATGGATTATACCTTAAAAAATTAACCCATACGAACAGTTAGCACTTTCCAGAAGGAGCACAGTCTTTTGAATAGCTTCTAGAGAGAATATTTTCATTTGCTTTTCATAAAAAATTGCAGTTTTATTCTGAAGAAAGCTAGCTAGCAGAAGCTAGCTAGCAGAAGCTAGCTAGCAGTTAAGAGGTGATTCTGAGTGCTGTAAATCAGCTTCACAAATCTGTATTTATGCTTGAAAATGCCTAAGCAGCAAATGATGTAAGTACAAATCAAAGCATTCCAGGAAGAAAAAAGGGCTGAAAAATCCAATCAGAATTAGAGCTGGGAATTTTTCATTTTTGTTTTGGGACTTTCAGACAAGCATTTGCAAAAAAAAAATCCCTTTCCTATAGTTCACCTGCTCTTCCCATTCAAGACATTCCTCTTGTTACTGCTTCTTTCCTCTCTTCTGCGCAGAAATCCCCTCCCTGGACATTAGGTCTCTCTGAAATATTCTCTCATGCTTCAGATGATCACCTCCAAACTGGCTAAGTATCAGAAGCATTACTCTTAAATCCCTGAAATACTTCCCTCTGGCACTCTGTGGAAGTCTCTGTGCATCCTTGTTAAAACTAACTGGTATCCAGCACGAAGTGATAAAGGATCCTGCATCCCAAAGGATACAAGAAAGAGTGCAAGTTAAGCATCAGAGGGCATCTGCTGTACGACCAAGCTGTCATCCATGTGCCAGCGGAAATAAATTAGTCTCTTCTGTTCTATGCATGCCACATAAAGTGACATCTAAAAGAAGTGTTTCATTCAAAAAAACAACAAAACATCAAAAGCCCAGCCAAACTTCTGTCTTTCTTGCAACCTCACCTTAGATGAAGAAGCAGCGGCTCTTTTCTGTTTCTGTTTTGAGAACTATGGGACAAAAATAACCACCCATTCTATGACGTTGGCATTTTTAACAACAAAACCCAGTAATTTGCTTAGGGCTTTGAATCAGTCTGGCTCTGACAAAAATGGTTCATTCTGAAATTACACTTACAGTTTGCTTTTTCCAGTGAAGCAGCAGGAGGTAAATAATACTGTTAAAATGGTTATTAATGTCTCTATTGGGAAAGACAAGTTTCTCCAAATGTCCTGATTATTTTTGTATGCTTCAAATGATTCTCACTGCCTTTCTGAAAAGTTGAACTACATCCTATCTTGGCTTTTTATGCGTAATTTTTACCAAGGCAAGTCCCTGAGCTGCTCATTGACCCCACAACTCCCCTAGATGTATCCAGCTACAAAACTCCACGTAAGCTACATTCAAAATTTCCACAAGATAATACTTAGTTACAGAGCTATTTCCAAGTGTGTGAGATCACACAGTCTATCCTGTGATGCGAAAGGATGGTGCATTTCCATCACAGCCATAGAGGTTCGCCGGGCCACAGCTTAGGTTAAAACTGTCCAGCTGTGGAAGAGCAGCCCTTTGGCCATCTGCTGCAGACAGGACTTCATACCTGATCCAGCTGGACTGCAGACCCATCCCCTCCTGCTCCAGACAGAAATACCATGGCCCAAGTCCACACACAGCAATGCATTCAGAGGCAAGAGAGAACCTGAGGGGCAAGCACATCTGAAGAGCACACGTGGACCCACCCATGACTGATCATACAGGTGTCTCTCTGGTGTCTCTTCCAAGAATCAAGCAGTGCCAAATTGTTGTTGTGCTCTAACCACCAGTCTGCACTCGCTGACATGCCCTCCATACCCACAAAAACGGACTGCAGGGAGAGATCGTCTTCTCCAGTGCTAATCTGTAAAAACAGTAACTACTGCCTCTATGCGAACCATGTTGTTCTTTGCCCAGAAGAAAGGGGAGGAGCAAGGAAATGTTTTTTGTTTAATGTAATTCTCCTCTTGAGACCAGAATAGTGAATACTGAGTCACACCAGAAGATTACCTCTTTGTTACAGAAATCAAAGGCTATCTGGAAGCAGGGATTAGTGTGCTCGCTCAAACAAGCACAGGCCCCAAGCTCCCCAAGCACACAAGATGGCTCACATTGAAGTTGCCATCAACAACAGCCTGCTTTCATAAAATGGTAGATATTCACCATCGATTCACATTCAGCTTCTATTGTCCATGGTAACGACAGTGCAATAACCTTCGGATCAGAAATGGGAATGAAGTAATACATGCTTATTCTAGCATGCCTCCTGTGGTTTCCTCCTCAGTTATAACTAACTGAAAGTATGTAAGACAATCCAGCATGTCTCTTCTGTTTTTGAACACTACAGGGCTTCATGAGTTCTTAGGCCACCAATGGAACACAATTTCTTACTCTTTCATCTATTAAAAAAAAAATTAAGTTGTACATAGAAAAGAAATCACTACAAAGGAAATATGACATGGGTTTGCTAGAAATAGAGACCCACAAGGTAGGCATAAAAACATTTCAGTCAACGCATATGTATTGACAGCATACCTATATGTCAAGACATTGCCTGAAGCTGAACAATGGACATGGAAAGTTAGGAAAGTTCACCAGAAAAATCAAAGGACGGACTTTCAAATTCAG